ATATATAGACATATATATATATATATATATATATATGGAATGCTTCACCAATTTGCATGTTATCCTTGCACAGGGGTCACAATAATGTTTTCTGTATCATTCTAATTTTAGTATATATGCTGTGGAAACTGAAGTGTTTTTTTTTTTCCTTCCTGTTTTTACTTACTTAAAGTTCACATCTCCTGACTCTTAAATAATCACTACATGGATAAAATATAATAGAGCACAAGAATTGGTCTATTCCATTTCCAGTTTTGTGGGCAGTTACAATGAAAGAATTTTGGTATAAGATTCCTGGGAATCGCTCCCCATCTCTGGGTCTCTGGGTAAGTGTCTTTCTCTCTGAAAGGGCTTTTCTCCCATATGTTATCATATTGGACTCTCAGAATAAACTCAGATAAATGCTCAAATGTCACCACATCAGAGACATTTTCCTGAGCATCTATCTAATATGTCATATCCCCTCGTTCTGAATTGTTTGTTTTCTTAATGGTCAATCGCATTTCTTCCTCTTAGAATATAAGATAAACGAGGCAGCAATTTCCATCTGTTTTGTTAAATACTTTATCCTCAGTGTCTTAAATAGTGCCTGTCACATATTAAGTGATATAAACTTGTTCAATGAATAGATAAATAAAAACCACAAGAATTTTAGAACATAAATATGAATTGCTTCCTGGAAATCTTGTTTCAATTTATATACTCTTTTTTTTTGGTACACAAGATTGAACCCAGTGTTGTTCAGCTACTAAGCCACAAACCCAGGCCTTTTTGTATTTTATTTTGAGACAGAATGTCACTGAGTTATTTAGGACCTCAATAAGTTGGTGAAGCTGGCCTCAAACTTAGAAACCTCCTGTCTTAGCCTCTCCAGTCCATGGGATTACAGGGGTGTGACACCAGGTCCAGCTTAATTTATATACTCCTAACTGATGTATGCTATTATCACAGAAGAGCCCACTTTGGATATTAAAGATATAAAATAAGAGGAAAAAGTTTTGGTTCATTTCTTCTTTGAATAATATGTACCCCTTCATTATCCATGTTTTATTAAAATACACAAAAGCTTGTCTGAATTAACTGTGTTGGATGGAATTTTTCATATTTTTATAAATAATTTCTCTTTTACAATAGGCATTCAGATTTCCCTTGTGCTTTGTGACATCTTAAATTTTAAAAATGTGTTAAATTAAATATTTTAATATTTTTCCATTGAGATCACCTATATTGTCATAGATTATAAAAATTTCTAATTTTTTATCATGTATTTTACTATTATAATTTTTAAAGTACTCTTTCTCATTCTTACATTATTTTTTATTTATCCACTGTAATCCTTGTTCTTTTATTTTTAAAGTAAGTCATTTTATTTCATAGTCTTGTATTATTTTAATCCATTATCTTCTTCTTTTCCTGTAAAACAGGGTTTTTATTTATTAATTAATTTTATTTAAAATGCCTGTTTTTGCCTATTTTAATAGATGATACATTTACGGCTCTCATTTTTTTAAAAAAAAATTTACTTTTACTTCATTATTTATTTTTATGTGGTGCTGAGGATCAAACCCAGTGACTCATGGATGCTGGGAAAGCACTTTACCACTGAGCTAGCCCTACTACTCTCCTTTTGATAATATTCTTATCCTATATTTTGCTACAATCCCTCATTTTATATTTGTTTTTCTATTTGCTCAAATCTCTGGATTAACCTAATCTGTCCAATGTCATGTTCACAGCCAGATAGCACTTTGTGTTTCCTTACCATTCTCTTCTTGCTGGTCTCATCTCCCTACATTATTCCTGCTAGGTGATGTTTGTGTGCAGACTGCCCATCTAGACTGGGAGCATGCAAACAGTTTAACTTTCCTCCCTAAAGTAAGGTAGTCTTCTTAATTCCTAACCTTGTTTCACAAGCATGAAAAAGCTAAAGCTCCTAATATGTGCCTCTCTCTAACATCTTTCTACGTCTGCTACCTTATACATTGTTTTACTAATTTTAGGGAATACAATGTGCTGCATAACATTTCTCCCTGTTTTCAGGTTCTAATAACCAAGTAGAATGAGATGGTAATAATAAAGGCACCTTCTATATCTACACAATATAACTATGACAATCCAGACTTTTCTTAGAACAGGTCCATCAATCTGTATTGTAGTTAGTAAAGGAATATTAAAATACTTTTTTAGCTTCCAGGTTGACAGCACTATCCTATCCACAGTGTTGGAGGCTACCTGTTGCTTTTCTTAGTCAACATCATTAGGTTGAACAGTGATAAATAGATTGCCCCTATTAATATTCATTTTAAAGATTATTGAAGATTGTAGTTTAAAAAATATTATTAAGATCAAATTAAGTCTGTGGATTACTAAACATGTCTTGGAAAAACAGATGATTTTCTACTTTGGTTTTTTTTTTTTTTTCAGTATTAGGGATCAAACCAGGGCTTCAAACATGCTAAGTAAGAGCTTTATCACTGAGCAGTAGCCCTAGTTTGACAACAATATTTTTCAAGCCTTTTATTTGAGTTTGTCTCTTCCTCTGTCTAAAAGTGACTCTTGGCTAGACTCAGTGGCACATAACCTGTAAGCTCAGCAGCTTGGGAGGCTGAGGCAGGGGGATTGTAAGTCTGAGGCCAGTTTTGACAACTTATGGAGACTGTCTCAAAAAAAAAATTACTTTTGGATGTAACTCAGAAGCAGAGCAGAACACCTTTAGATTCAGTCCCCAGTACCATAAACCAAACCAAAGCAAAACAAAGTGACTCTCTTTCAAAGCATTGCAGATGATTAAGGATAAATGTATGTATATATTATATAATTAGAATAGAAAATATCAACATGACATAAATAGCCAATTTTTTTGTTATTATATAATCCTTAGAAATTATGTTTATAGTTTCATATATACATGTTGCTTCCTGTCCCCTGGAATCACTTTTTAATTGAAATTAATTTTTAATTTTTTCTATTTATTCTAATTTGGCATCTCTAAATACAAGTGATAGGGTTTTGGTGGCAAAATTATCTAGGCTATTGAGATATTTTTCAAATTAGATTAATTTAGCAGAGAATGATATGCAACATTTGATTAAATTATGACAGCACCTAAAGTAGCGGAGTTTTCCTCATAAAATGATGATGGAAACTCAGGTGAGTCAAATTGACAAACTGATCTTCAGCAGCATCCTGGTGGTGATCATTTCAATGTGAGGCACCAGACTATTCCAAAGGGAGTTATTTTCATAACCTATGTGCAATTCAGGAATGTCTGTGGCCATAAAAGTACATTATAGACTAGGAAGTCACTGAAAGCCTTTCAAGTGCTGGTGCATGTTTTGTTTCATGTAGCTTTTAGTGGCCTTTCTGCATTTATCAGAAAGTTCTTTGTTTTGTGCCTGCAGAAGCTCTGTTACAATGGAGGCCAAATTCTGCCAGACGCTGAACATATATGATTGCACACCTCTACTGTGGAAGGCCGGGGGCCTGGTTCACTCTAGGTTGTTCATCTTGAACGAAAGAAACAGAAAAACAAGTGTGTTCTTGGTGACCTATGAAAATGCAACTTAGAATGACTAGATGACACTGAAATGTAGACATTTCTGAAGACGTATTATTCTTTTAGCAGTAATTAAATTTCTTGATTTTCTACATATCTGTTAGCTAAAGAGCCCAAAGTGTTTTTCAATGATGCCTGTTTTCAATATCTGAAAGTCTTAATTGATTTGAATCACTAAAAGATGTCAAATAATTATTATTCTTTATTTTTAAATTTTATTTAGAAGTGGCTTCCATGTGTTTATTCCAAACCTCTCAATGACTTCTCCCCTGCTAGAAACTGCTTTTAACATTTATTATGACATTCTCTATTATTGCCATTTTCAAAATTGACATTAACACCCAAATTATTTTGATTTGGTCACTATTTTCTATCACTTGGCTTATTCATTTTTGGATTTTTTTTGGTTCATCTATTTTATTTATGTCAAATAATGCCTGATTTGAGGATAATTCAATTTGCTAAGTAAAGGCTAATGAGATGGAAATTCCAAGTTCAGCATCCATATGGAAGCTAGCCATTCCTGCATAGTACAGAATCAGACGATTGCCTTGGACAGCTTGTGGTATCACCCAACAAATGGGAGAAAATGTGAATGTGGCAAATCCATCTGAGTGATGGCCATTTGGGGGTGGGAAAATTGTCTAATCCAATCACTAGTAAAGCATATGCTTCTTAATTGGGTTTTATTATTCAGAAGAATGGATTTGATTTGAAGTAAAATTACCTGATTTTTTTTGTCATAGATTAATTGAAAATAATGGTGGCTATTATTTTTAAAGCATTTTGAGGAACACGGAAACTTAATGTATAATATTTTAAGGGGAATTGTGATAATAAGATAGCATGTGATCTTTAAAGAGTTTAACATAGCTATTCCTAAGTATTCCTACACTTTAAAAATGATTTCCCAAAGTAATGTCATTTTTAGTTTCTTAGGCATAGATAACTTTGTTTATAAGTGTTCAACTTTGCAGTTAAATATTATAAGTGAGTATTCTTTAAAAAAACTTTAGAACCCAAGTGATATTATATGTATTATATATATAATAATATCATATACAAATATATTTCTTAGTCTGTCAATTCTATATTTTCTAGTTGATACTGAATACAAAAGAAATGCTTTGCTGATTTGTTGTAAATATTCTTTGATCCAACATGGGAAATATCATTCTGGATTTTTAAGAGAAAAAAATAGAAGTCAGTGAATTAAATAATAGCTACTATTAAAAGATACTTGGAATTTTACCTTTGGTATTTTTCATATCTTTAGCACATTTTCTATTAAAAATGTTTCTGGAGTTCAGTGTGCTTGGTTTTGGGTCTCTAAGCTGTAGTAAGTAGCCTTGGGACCCCTGAAGGCACACCCCACACACTTATGCTGTGTGACCTAAGGTCACAAGTAATGGCTGCAAGCTAATTGATTGAGAAAGGCTTGTCTGGCAGGGCCTCTTTGCGTCCTCCCTGTACATTCCTAAGTTCTGTGAAAGAGGCACTAGCAGCTCAGCCTAGCAAGGAAGGAAAAAAGAGAGGAAGTCTCTGCGTTCTGATTACACCCTGAATTCCCTTGTAGTGAGCTTGCTTCTCTCCACCCACTTCTTACTGAGAACTCTTTAACTTGACGGTGAACAACTTAAAACTTGATCCTGCAGGAGTTACCTGAAAGTGATTTTGAGTATTCATTGAATCGAAAGAACAAATCACCTACTTCAGGCGGTGGGAAGCATATGGAAATTATATTAGAACTTCAGCAAAGTGCACAGCTGCATAATACAGAAGCCGGCACTCAGATTGACAGGCAAATAAGCCAGCTTGTGGAAGGGGCCTCTGGGTGGCAGCTCTGGGCTTTTGGGTGTTGGACAACTATAGGCAAAACTGAAATGGAACAGGGGCAGAAAATAGCACACTTTTACTCTACGCAACTGTTGCTTTCGCATGGTGAGTGCAGATTTAAGATATTACTTAAAATATACTTTCTGTGTTGTCAAACAAGTTAAATTTGTTGTGCTTTGAGGGAAATTGCAGCAGTAGCACTACTTAGGAAGTTCTTAGGTGATATGGCTTTGTTTCTGCTTGATTTCACATGAAACTTGGCGATAGGAACAGAGAAGTTCGGTGTTTGTATTGTCCTCTGTCATTTTTCTTAAAATTGTCCTTTTGTTTAAATCATGCTTCTCTTCAACCTGAATCAATATTGTTTTAGGCAAATCATGTGTGGAGTAGATGAGGAAGGAACACCAGTGTGACAGAATATTTGTAAACATTTCATTTAGTCCGACTTTGTGTCACTTGTCCACGGCTTCATGTTTTGCTGCCTTATCTCAGGAATATACAGCACAGAGTGTATGAAAAGAGCTTTGTGTGAGAATTCCTGGCCAGTGAAAGGGTCAGGGCCTGTGTGTTATCTGCCTGCCAGCAAGACTCACTGGTGTGCCCTCTTATTTTTAACATAAAATAGGAGAAAAAAAAAGTGCATCTTTACATATTAAAAATAAGTGTGTTTTGATTCCAACACTTCCCTTCTTGTGGTTTATGTGTATTATTCCTGGCAGAGGATTGTTTAAATTTCTTTGGGGCAGCAGCATGCAAGCTTCTTTTGTTTCTTTTTGTCTTGTTTGCTCACATTTCATTGTAGAAACTTTGCACATATTTAGAAAAAAGAAATCACATTGAAATAATACTTCAGTCGTTTTAATTTCAGTGCAAATATTTTGCAAGTTAGTAAGCTCATGTTTTCTGGTAAAAAAAAAATAATACTTCAGAGAGTAAATTGTGCTAAATTCCTATTTTAATCGTATTTAGAATCCTATTTTAAATGTGCTTCTTGTTAAAAAATAAAAGTCAGAGTCTACAGGGAGTATTCCTAGAAATGTTAGTAGAAGACAAATGTTTTTCTTTATAAAACTGCAAATTCAGCATTGCAGTTTTAATAAGTGCCAAAATATTATCGCTGTGATTGACTTTTGTTTAAAAAGTTTTATTAACAAGAGGACTGCATTAGATGTTACCAAATGAAATGAACTGAAAAAAAAAAATGTGTCTTTCACACCACTGATTTGGTAAAACACAGAGGTTTAAGGTTTTACTGTTTGTTTCATATGCATTTAAACTTTGGAAGAGCAACTGTGTAATACAAATTTTGTATACTGATTTCAGAAGTAAAATTCACTACAGAAGCCTCGTTATATTTTTAGATTTATAACTTTTGTTTGCTAAAGTTAATTCATAAACTGAAAGTTTCTTGGAGTAATTGTGCGGCTATAAAACAAAATAAAGGGAGGAAAATGTTTAAGGAAGAGTGAATGTGATTTCAGTTATAAGGTAATTTTGAAGGAATACTTAGCTCTTTTGTAAAATTTACGGAAACCTATCTGTTGGCAGAACTAAGTCATGGTCTTGACTTTTCTACAGAAACTATGTATAAGAAAGATATTTTAGAACTATTTCTGATTAGATTCATGCTTCCTTCAACAATTGTAAAATGTGACTGACAAGGCTTTGTCTAGAAGAACAAGTTCATTATGTCCTCCTCACCTGTTAATATTCATTCTTTCTTACCCACAGTCACAGTGTCTAGTTGTTTATTAGTGTTGCAGAGAGGTGAAAACGTTTATTTTTAAGAGAGAAGCTGTTCATTTATATGCACCTTTTGAACTTTTAAAAATGTTGTTCTTCTCAAAATCCAAGTGTTTTTAATAAGGTCTTTTGTTAGACTCTTAATGTGAATGGTCAAGAAAGGACATATAATTGTTTTGTCGTTCCTTTAATGTATCTCCATAAAAGAAATATTAAGATGCAGCTGAGGATTTGACAGGCTCTGCTAAGACATCAGTCTTTGAAAATCAAGATTGCAAAACAACAGCAACAACAAAAATGTTTACCCCTTACCTAGTTAGAGACCTGAAATTAAGGGGAACTTTATTATTTTTCTTGGCTATAAAGTCCAACCTCAACTCAGGAAGTTACTGTGTGATGGGAGGAGCTACAAGAGTGAAGTTCTCTCTAATGGAATTACCAGAATTGTGACAAACAGTAGATCTGCTTCTTAGTGTTCCTAATATTTAATCTTTTTTTTTAAAAAAAAAATATTGATTTGTTCTAATTTGTTTTATGTGACTACAGAATGCATTTCAATTCATTGTACACAGATGGAGGACAACTGTTCATTTTTCTGATTGTAGACAAAATAGAGTTACTCCATTCCTGTCTTTATGAACCTAGGGTAATGATGTCCATCTCATTCCACCACCTTTCTTACCCCCATGCCTAACTTTTAATCTTAAACTTCCATCTTCTAGCTTTACTGTTTGTGTTTACTTGTTGGTTGGTTACTGAGATGAAGACTGCTTTTAAAAACTGAAATCAACCACAGTGATATTTTAATACCATGATTTTAAGAAGGTATATGTCTTTTTATGTAAGGCTAATTTCCCACAGGTGTTTGTGCATTTCATTAACAGGAAACAGTAAATGTGTGTTCACAAATTTATATATAGTGACCTTTTATTTACATATAAGCATACATATTCACATGCACTCATAAACACATATCCTTATTTATACCTCTAATATCTTGAAGCAACATCCTTCCTTCTTAGCCCCATACTTGCTTTTAAAGACCTATATAGATTAAATGAAGCTAAAGGAAAAGGATCTTCTGACTAGAATTCTAAATAAAATGAGGGGGGAAATATGCTTCACCAATGATGTGAAGAGTAGTACCAAGCCCTTGCTACAGAAGTAATATCTGTCATGGATGCCAAGTCATTTCTTTTCAAATGTATTTGCTCCCATGTTGAAGCAAATTGTCCATCTTATGTCCACCAGAGTGGTGTATGTGTAGGTGTGTGGGCACTTAGACGCACAAATGAGTTCACATGGAAAGTGACAGAGTAGCCTGGACATATGCTAAGCCTAGGAAACTGTGTGATTGATTTCTTAATTCTAGCGGTCACTAAATCCCAGTTTCTGTGTGTACACTTGTAAAATAGACATCTGTTGCTATAAACTTGTGTCTGCTCTGTTATTTCCATGCAATTGTATTTCTGTTTCAATGACATTGATCAATTTATTTCAAAGATTATTTATTCCTTCAGAAAATAGAGCAGAATCTGTAGGATTAAACTCTACCTTCCTCAAAAGACTTCCTTAGAGAGCAGCAGTGTTAATTATTCTCCTTACTGGGAAGAAAGTATAGAGTTTGTTCATCTTCCATGACACTTTGATCCTAGAACTTGTATCTTTCTTAAATTGTAGAAAACCCAAGAATTTTCTTTTCAATCATTCCTTCTTTTAACATTGGCTGTAATCTCTTGTCCTGGAATTCCCCAGTAGATGTTATGTTAAAGTTTCACAATGTATCACACATATTCCCTATTATTATTATTATTATTATTATTTTGGTATCAGGGATTGAACTCATGGGCACTCAACCACTGAGCCACATCTCCAGCCTTTTTTTGTATTTGACTTAGAGATAGGCTTCAGTTGAGTTGTTTAGCACCTCAGTTTTGCTAAGGTTGGCTTTGAATTCTCAATCCTCCTGCCTCAGCCTCCTGAGCTGCTGGGATTATAGGCATGTACCACCATGCCCAGCTCTTTCATACTATCATATACATCTACTTACATTGTACTTTTGTTGAATTACTCAGAGATATCTTCCAATTTACTAAGGCCTTTTTTTTTTTTACAATATCCATTCTAGAATTTATATTTTTAACTATATTTTCACTTTTCTAGAATTTTGATTCCTTTCTCATAACCATTTTTGTTTCATTTCTATTTTTTTCCTCATGCTATATAGGTGATTTCTTATTTTGTTTCCTTGAGGATCCTAACATGCTTATTTTGAGGTCATTATAAAATTCCTCTGTGACATTAATGTCATCTGGAAAATGTCATTGACTCTTCTAATTTTTTTGTGATCCTTTTATATTATTCTGTCATGTCTTGGGATTTTGGTTTCCTGGCTCATCTTGAGTGAAAGGGGTTTTTAAAACTTCTTAATCTTTTGTTGCTAGTCGCTATATCCAGTCTTGTAGTCTTAGAATTGGCCTTGACCCTCTCTGTTCCAGGTCCAGACTCTCTGATAATGAGGCTGTGAGAGATCTAGTCAAAAGGCAGTTTGACTCAGGTTCTGGGTGTGAAATTATGGCTTCTGGGTCTGGCCTCTTTATGAAAGCAACCCCAGGTAAATCGGGACTCTGGCAGATGGAAGTTATACTCAGCTTCCTGTTATTTTACCCTCAGGTTTTAATCGGTAAAGCTGGCCCTGGTTATTAGTACCTGTGGGACAGGTACTAATACCTGTAGTAGGTATCCCAGTGACCTTGAAGAGTTGCTTCCTTCTCAATTCAAAGAGCAGCTGGCATGGTGCACTTCATTTTGTGTTTATGTTCTCTCTCTGAACTTTTATCTTGTTTTGAGCATCATCTTTCTTTAACATTATCCCTTTAAAAATATATCTATTATTACAATATGTTGGAAGCAAAAGGAAAGCACTCAAGCTGTATTTTTGCAGTGCCACCTTGACAAGAGTTCCTGAAACCATAAAGTTTGGAATCAAAAAACATGGCTTCAAATTCTGACTCACTTATGAACTGTGTCACCTTAAATCAAAGTCTTCCATTTCCTAAAAGCATCATTTCTTCCCATGAAACATATTGATAGCAATGCTTATTTCCAAGGGCTGTTGGAAGCATTGACGGGGGCAACGTGTGGAAAGTATTTAATCCTGTGCTTAAACATATAGGTGTGTGCATTCTAGAGGTAGGGGAAAAGCAACAAAAAATCCAAACTAGATGCTCTCAATCATTTTTTTAAATAAAAGCAATTGGAAAATCAAATAAACTTGCCTCTTGTATTCTGCATCAATGCAAAGTTGTCATATTTTAATATCTAAATCAGATTTCTAAAGATGAAAGTCCAGTGCACTAGTT